ACCGTCCATCGGGCAGATCACCATAAAGACTTCCCAGTGTGGGATCAATACAGTTCTCATCATCAACATACTACCTAATGATCTACAGAGGAAGATGTCACAACATCCACTGATATGACAGTTCAATGACCGCGATAAGCATGTGATAAATTGCTTTTCTTATTACTGACTAACTAGATCCGTCCCTTAGTTAACCTGAATGATGATTTTATCTTTTTACCTTCATCGATGTGTCATCAAGGACCACAGTTCCTGGTTGATGAAGGTTCCTCCTCTGCTGATCTACAGCTCTGTTCCATGTTCGATGATCTGTATTTCCTAATACAACACTGTATGTGGTTTCACACATTTCTGCTTCACCTGCACAGAACCTCTATCAAAATACTGCATGAAAACATCCTCAGCGCAGCGTGAGCCAGGAGACCTAGCTTAGCTTCTTAGATGCTGATCTCCTCAGGTTAGTAATCTGTCCCTGAGGAGACGTCTCTCCTCCACTGGAAGAAGAAAGAGATTTTTCATTCCTAAGGTTTTGTATAATCTTAACAAAGACCCTGTCACTCAGAACCTGACGAAGCACAATTTCAGGATCATATGAAAATTACATTTGGAGCTGTATTTTATGAAACTCATTTTCATCAACTTTCCTTGCAGTGTGCACATGAACATCAAGAAAGCTTTTTAGCTTTTAAACTTTTAGTTTTAGCTAAATGTTAAATAATGCAATGTTTTCCCAGCATGAAATAATCTGTTTATATATGTGTGTGTATATATATATATATATATGTATATATATATATATATATATATATATATGTATATATATATATATATATATATATGTATATATATATATATATATATATATGTATATATATATATATATATATATATGTATATATATATATATATATATATATATGTATATATATATATATATATATATATATGTATATATATATATATATATATATATATATATAGTGGCCTTTTTTATTTTAACCTTAGTCATTTTGCTATATATTTTGCATAGTTATATTTGTGCTGCCTTTATGGACAAAGTATCAAGTAAATATGGCTAACCTTTTAGCGTTTCTACCTTTTGTAGTATGCCTATTTGGATAAATTATGTTTTTTTTTGTCTGCAGCATATTGTCCTATAATTATTCAGTCTCTTCAATGTTCTCTTGAAATGATTGAAATGCTTTTTGAGTAGCAGTAGCATGAGATGGGTCAAAGGTCACGCAACCATGTGTTTAGAATGTTAGTCAACAGTAGTCAGCAAACCTGATGGACGATCCTAAAGCCTTCCACACTAAGCCTAGGTAGTAGGCTAATGGGGGCCAATGCTAACTATGTTTTATTCATGACGCTGATATCAAAGAGGTCAGAGAAAATAGCTTATGGACGGTTTATCTTTAGATCTGTCTACTGCCGTTATGCAATCTTCCAGAGGTAAAGCTTTCTCTCTGAGTCCAAGTCTGTCGTGAGAGCTGCAGGATGTACGGAATCAGTTTTATTTACTTTCTCAACAAGGGCAGGAATTTGATTTAATTCAGATGCTTTCACAAAATACACCAAGGCATCTCCATAACTGTGGGGTTCAGAGACATCGGCGCTTCAGAAGAACGGCCGCCTTTAGGGAGCGATCATGTTGTTGGTTACGTGCTGAGAGGACGCTGTTTGCGTGTCAAGGGTAAGGTTGAAAGCAAAAGTTTCTTTCCCAGCAAACAGAACTGAAATTAAACACGAACGCCCACTAATGAAGAGCAGGAACACTGGGCCTGTTGACATCTGGACTTCTCACATGATGCTACATCACACATTGCCAACACAGTAGTTCAGGTTCACTTCAACCTTTTGAACATACTGCCCTCTGGGTGCAGATACTAAACTCTGAAGAGGAAGAAGGGCTTGCTTTGGTAACCGCCGTATCCCAGCAGCCACTGCTGCCCTGAATAATAAGCCTGGCTCAGGGCACTAGTTAGTATGGAAATGACAGTTAGGTCCTGTTGTTTGTACGGTTATACCGAGGTAACAGTCTCAATCTGTTCACATCATTAATATCTGGAAACATTATAAACAACAGCAATCCGTCAAAGAGATTATCAACTTATCACATATCTAAATTAATTATTAATTGAAAAGTAATTTATTGATTATTTGAGAGGTATGCATAGCTTTGTTGTGATTCGTTTAAATACATTGAATGCTTGTTATTGACGTCATTGACACCGACGATGTATAGCCAATTTTTGTCACCATTATCATCCAATATAAAAGCACTGATAGGTCGCGCAATTGTTTCGGTTTTATTAACACCAGCCTCTTTCGGTCACGAAACTCTAGGGAAGTTTGTCCAAGTAGAGTTGCCGTTTTTCGCTGTCCAAGATGGCGACCATTTCGCGCTTGGCCAAACTGCAGTGACACGGCGGAGGAAAACATTTTAAAAAACGTGGGGTGTGACGTTAGACGCTGAAAAAGTCCGCCGCTCGCTTTAAAAGCCTCAGGTGTTCGAAGTGATTCCTAATTCGCTGCTAAATAGAAATGTAAGTGTCTTTTGGATTTGTTATTCCATACTTTTGACGGGCTGAACATATGTATTAATTAGGCAAAATAACCTTGACTTCACACATTTGTTTTTGCCTCCTGAAACTAATTTAAAAAACTTTCACAGTGTGTTTTTTACACTGTGTTAATGCATTGAATCACATTTGACCATTTTAGTGTTTTAAGTACAGCTTCAGTATCTTCTATAGGATGTTAATAAGACGTCTACATTATATTAAACTTGTATTCAACAATGTTTGAACAGATGGGGTTTCTGGGAACACAGACCAGGAGTAATGCAGAGTCAAAGGAGACTCCTTAAACTGAAAGACAAGGTGAGAGTCAAACTCTATTTAATGAGAGGGTGACTATTTGACAAAAGTTGTGCACACACTAGAACTTCAGTAGTTAACATGACTCTGTCTTGGATTTATTTTTCAGATTGGTCATCATGAAGATCTTCAACATGGTAGGGAGCGTCATGTTTTTTTTTTTTTTTTAATTCTTAGTCACCACTGTCTGCTACCAGGCAGCTGTACCACTGTCCTCTATGTGGCTGCTGTGCCGTTATCTTCTTCCTACCCACTGTGTCGTTGTCCTCTATGTGGTCACTGCTGTGCCCTAGCTGGCTGCTGTGCAGCTGTCTCCTTCCTTGCCGCTGTCCACCCTAGCTGCTGTCCTCTCCCTGGTTTGCAGTTGGCCCATTAAATATAACATGATTGTTCTTTCCTGAACCTACAGCACTTGTGAAACATGTGAAACATTAAATAACAAACTTTGTTTACTACAAATGTTCATAAAGTGAATTTTAAAAAAAACAGAACAATACGATTGACCGTTAATTGGAGTTATATCTAGTTGCTTCCTTCTCTTTTCAGTCACAACCTGCTGTTTTGACATTCATGGGTTGAATTGGAAGTTGTCAAGGTTTGTGTTGTGTTGTCCAGGGCAACGGAAAAACAACTGCCATGTTGGTAAATGCCATCTGCTAATGTAAAAGTTAAAATGTATTTAAATCAAGCGTTTACCATAACATTGAAAAATTGGCCAGAAATGTCAAAATAACTAAAGAATATAATAATTTTCAGTTAAGCAATGAGTATGCTAAATTTTAGCATTAAATTCAAATTGTTGGGGTTCAATTTTGACGAACTGTATTAGCATGGTGGGTGTCTATTATTTATTTCCTCTCTGAAAGATGGCAACATTGCCCACCTGTCAGGTAAAACACAAATGAGTTGAGTGAATGTTTGTCTCTAAAGCTCATTTGCTTAATTTGCTTGAGTTATTACTTGCATTCGTTTGTCTGTTGTGAAGTAGCCTGTCTCATTCAGGGAAGCAGAATAATTGTTGCAGAGCTTGAACACGCTGTTTGTTTTCAACATTCATACAAACGTTACACGGTTTGATTTAAGAATTTCCATCAGCCTTAATGAGGCAACCACTTCTACAATTAACTTTAGTCAATTCTAATCTCCAGACACGGAAGGCTCACATTCAAAAATGCCAACAGCCAATTGGCTCACGAGTTATACAGTAATACATATCACTTAAAAAGCCATCCATGGACTTAGCTTAATGAAATTAATACCAGTGCTGACGTAAAGCAAAATAATCAGAGATAAGATCGATGTTTCAGACAGTATTGACAAGAAAAAGAAAATAACTGTAATAACTGCTGTAGAAATTTACACACAGAAATACATTATTAACAGTAAACTCTGTTTACCTACAATATATTCATCTATTTATCTTATTTGTTCTTTACTAACATTTAGCTTTCTAACCTTGTTCTACGGCTAAGTTTACTGTTCCGCTACCAAACCTTATCGTTACCTTTATCGTTGGTTATCTTTGATTCATTATGCAGTAAATGTCTGTGCATTAATTTTCTAAAAAATTATGTAGATTTTTGAGAAAATAAAATGTTTTGCACTGGAAAGTTCTGTCCTTTAATAATAAATATCTGCCGTGGCTCATCGGGAAAAAAAAAATACTAGACTCCATAAAGTAAGTCGTCACTAACACCACGAGATTACACAATAACTGCGAGTAAACGGTTTCCGCCGCCGGTGGGTTCTACTGTTTAAGGGAGGAAATCTTGTGCCCTCTAGTGGAGATTGTTAAATAACACAACTCAAACCACGGTCTACACATCTTCAAAATTAAAATTAAATTAATTTTCTGTCATGTCATGATAACGCAAGTTGTCTTTGTGACCTAAATATATAGGTTAATCATCAAAAGCCTTTTATAGACTTCGGTTCAACACTTATAAAATATAATATATTATATAAGTCCACCTTCATACAGAGAACATTCCGCACTGCAGTGATTGAGCTTGTGCTAATCAGTAGCGCCACCACCTGGTACAGTAGTGCAGTTGTACTCCCAGTGGGCTGACTTCAATGTATAGGACAGATATTACACAGTTCTCAGTAATGAAGAGACACTTTAAAAAAGAAAAATAAATATTTTATTTTAATACAACTTCTTCATGACATGAAATACAAGCAACAAAACAACTTCAAAATTTGTTAACATCTGAACCAGAACATTCCTCGACATAAATCACAACACATTAAAAAAGTGTGTATGCAGGGATATCATACGTAAAAATAAATACACATAGTCTACACAACTGTAACAGTACACAACCTTTATCAAATACTGTGACTAAAATGAAAATGGAAGATCTAACATACTGTAATAATAACAATTAGGTATCTTTCCCAAATTTGGGTAAAGAGGATTCGTTTGTCTGGCTACAGAGTTTCAAATAGTGGGTTGTGGGTTGAATTCGTAGCTGATGGAAAAGTTTTCTATGTTGGTCTTGCTGGAAAAACTTGCTGCATCCTGTACTTCAGAATTTAGTCTTGTAGGTCGGGGGCATGGAAAAAGAATGACGGATGAAGTAGGTGTGGTAGAGGTCTATCAAGCCAACAAAAAAAATCACAAATGTCACAAAACCAAACTAGTTATGGGGCAAAATGTGGTAGGTTGTGAGCTACTGGGCTTTAACTGACCATGGGCGTAAATCTTTTGACACATACGATTAAACGTGTTGGGTCATATGGCCAGAACTGAAGAGTTATGAAACGTGTGCAGCTCTGATTTAGAATACTGATGGAAATCCCCAGCACAGCCTAAACCTTCTAACTACAAGGAATGGCGTCATATACCTCTGGTAGAGCTACTGTTTCACACTCTCTCTCAGGGACAGACTGACCACAATGATAGAAAATACAGCATGCCTACAAGCAAGTACCAATATATAATCAAAAACTTAAAAAACTTTGGTCGCATAGCTCATCCCACATACTGTATATACATATAGTGTATTTACTGGTCTACAGTATGTAACAAACAATGCCGCAGCTTTATTCTGAGACATCCAAATGTGGCTCGCACTCTGCTGCTCTATTTGTTTGTAGAGGTCTTGAGGTCAGGTGACAACCATATGTGAGCCACGACCTGTTTAGGCACATTGAGCTTGAGTATGTGACATCACACTGGCTGGGACATCACCTGAAAGCCACTTGAATACCACCTGAGAACTGTGTGTAATTGGTCTGACCTGGCTGTGGTGAAAAACTGTTGATGCGTTACTGTAATGAGCAGATCACTGGAATCAGGACGAGACAGAACCCGACTCCTCGGCATCTGTGGAGTCACACTCATCAGCAGACTCTGTCAGAGCTGGGTAAGGCCGCGGCTGATCCAGGTTGACGTATGTGATGTTCAGACTGATGTAGTGTTCTCCCTCCAGGCCTGATATGATGCTGGAGACGGATGACACTAATGTAGCGAAACCAGGCCTCTGCTCTGGGTCTGGGTCCCAGCATTGTAGCATAATTCTATACCTGCAACACAAGGTGTGTCTGAGCATTTAACAAATATAATAATATTAATAACACACTTGCTTTTCATGCACTACATAAGACAGCCCATCAACACCCGCTGTTAAAAATTACTATGTAAATTTTACTGTTGGTAAATTTTTATTTATCTACTTTTTACTTTCACTTGAGTAGCTTGTTCTTTGGTGTATTCTTTACTTTGCTCTTATGCTGCAAAAACGCAATGTAAGAGAACCTTAATTTGTGAAAAAGCTTCTGGTTCATGATTCTTTTCTACTTTATTCATGTTGAAATGTGAGGTAGAAACACTCATTAACTTACAAACAGAATCACTAAGCCATTTTGGAAAAGTAGCAAACGGACCCTTCACTGATTTATCCCAGCAGCAGCCTGTGGACTTTGTGCTGTTGTCTTTTCTTTCTTCTTTGTGAATCTGTGTTGGATGCTGTTGTTGAGTCAGAATACTTCAATGTGGCCTCAAATTATGGTTGGGTCATTTATGTTTAAGTTAGGCTTTAGCTAAATGTGACTAACACAGTACATAAGTAAACTTAGTCATGACATGTCATAACATATTAACGGTCACTCTATCATGACTCATGAACAACTTCCTGTCGTGAATCTAGTTATGGAGAATTTTTTTATTTTTTTAAATTATTAACCGTTTGACAAAAACTATTACTGATAGTTTGGTTACTCACAAAGGGTCAGGACAGTACTGTGGCTGTGGTAGACGCCTGCCCTTCAGTAAATAGTGTGTGATGTCATAAGGGTCAACCTCTGGGTAGGGGCTGGCTCCTCGGGTCAGCATCTCCCACATAAGCACCCCGAAGGACCACTGCATCAGAGAGGGGAAGGTTACACAACAGAGGAATCCTTCATCAGTGGCTTTTTGTTTGTTTTAGCTCAGTGAGTTTGCAGTGTATTGATGGACATAATACGTGTTGCTGTGAACTCCATTGCTTTTCTACTAGTCTTTTCTACTAACCACATCTGATTTGGAGGTGAACTTCTGTGTCTGCAAACTCTCAATAGCCATCCATTTGACAGGCAGCTTGGCTTTCCTGTGGTCCTGAACACTGTAATACTCCTTATCAAACACATCTCTGGCCATGCCAAAGTCGGCCACCTTCACTGTGTAGGACTCATCCAGCCTAGGGACAGACAGAGATAACACGTAGTGTCAAACGTACCTTACAGTGTCAGTGCAGACAGGATCTTAGACAAGTTCCATCTACCAATCATTAACTCACATGCAGTTACGTGCAGCCAGGTCTCGGTGTACAAACTTCTTCTGGGCCAGGTACTCCATCCCTTTTGCAACTTGCAGCCCAAACCCTATCAGATCCTTTACAGTGGGATTCTAAACATATGTCACCAAGAAAAGAAAAAAACAAACAAAACCAAATCGTGGAATAAAAACACAGTTAGATTTTAGCCAGTTTTTACATGAGCCATTTCTCTCTGCATCCAGAATCTCTTCCCAATTTGTATAAGACTAACTTTGACTCTTTCTCTGTGAATAGGAGAATTTCTGCATATATATAAAACTTGTAAAAGTGTAAAAACGGCTCCTGCACCCTTTTCTCGCAGCGTATGAAATGCCTCAGATCCCCATGTTTCATGTATGGTAGCACCACTAGAGGGAGGCCTTCCTGAGGCAGGAGTATACCCAGCAGAGACAGAACATTGCTGTGGTGGAAGCCCTTCATGATGATGCCTTCCTTCAGAAATTGCTCCACCTCCTCTACATCTGTTATTCCTGTTGACAGACACATCAGGTCATTTAACAATAATGACAGTATGTCTTCATTTAAACTAGCCTAGTTTAAACAGGGCCAATAAAAGTAATGAAAATAAAGTAAAAGTTCCTAGTGAGAGCTTTACTGCACATGTTAAATACATTTTGTAAGAATTTCATTATCTTTTTGTCCTACTTGTTCTTCATGGGCTAGATTGAAGCGATCGTCTGGAAAGCAATTATTTTGTCAACATTTTCTTGGTGATATTTATGGATCATTTTGTGTTATTTAAGGCATATTTGAACTGTATTTAAATCAATATTTTTTATTAATAATTTCTGTAAGACATTGTTTTAATCAACTTACACTTGAAATAAATACTCACTGTTTAACGACTTTACAGCACAGTGGATTTCTCTGTTGTTGTGGTCAGTAAAGTAGCCATGGTAGACTGTTCCAAAATGACCTTCAGAAAGAAAAAGCAACAGTGGACAATCCATTCAGATGGAACACCAATCTAAGACTCAGTGATATTTCCTTTCATTTCAAAGTAGGACAGTGGGATCAGTTACCTTTCCCTATGATGCGATGATGCTGCACAAGAAGCATCTGAGCAGGGATGAGAACATCCTTCACCTCCTCCAGCAGCTCTGGCCTAAAACTGGAGATGGAGATTTTCTCCGGAGGCATAAGAGGAGTCAGAGTAGCTTCAATACTGTCAGCAGCAAAGGCCAGTCTGGGGAAAACCACTGGAGCCCTGAGTGAGATGGACAGATTCCGGGACACAACTGTCCACAAAGAGTGAGATAACTGTGTCAAGATAAACACATTTCAGTCACATCAATACAAAAAAGACCTGTGATGTGTACATTTAAGTAACAAAACAGTGAACGGCGTTCTTTTGGTAAATGTTTTCCTGCTCTGTTATTGTTGTTCACCAACACGCACTAATAATTGTATCCATAGCTCTGAGGGAGGCTGCTCTCAGTCATGTTCAACAATAAGAACGATAAACATATTTACAACATAGACAAAGTACGTCCCTGTGACTTTTTTTATTGTGAAGTTTTTTTTTTATATTTATATTTGGGCTGTAACATTTCTGTTACTCTATTTAGCATTGTTTTGACTAATTTGATTTATTATTATTATATATCTCATTTTAGCAGGAGTGTATAATCTTTTTAAATCCACAATATGTTCAGATCCAAACCTCCCCTGTAGTCCCCTGCAGGTGAAAGTTCCACATTATTGGTTCCAGAGCGGTTGGCGTTGTGTGACAGACGAGTCTCTACCATAGCGGCTGAAAAACATTTTACAACTGGTTTTTAATCATTTACCAGGACAGAGAACATGCATCAACTTTGCAAAGACAGAGATGTTCTGCTTGAAGAACCAAGTCACAAATTTTATCCACAGGCATTAACAGTTGTCCAAACAGTTTCATCAACGGTCATGTAACACAGACACGTCCAAAGTCCAGTGAGGCAGCTGTTTGTGTCAAACATGTAATATGTCAAATCTTTTCTCTTTTTTTTTATCAGCATTTTCTTTTTTGTTTTTGTACATTACTCCCAATTATTTAAATGTTATAGTATTTCTTTGGCTGTTATTTTTTTCAAGTCAAATCTGAGATTAGATCTTTATTAGGACTTGTTGTTTATAAATGACTCCTGTTAAAATCAAAACTGTTGCCCAAACCCAAAATAGAGTGAAAGACAAAGCAGGGGAGCTCACCCTTCTTTTTTTTCCTCAGATGTTTCATGACAGCAAAGGCGAGAGCAGCTCCAGCCACCAGGGCAGCCAGAATCCCCAGAACGATCCCCACCATGTAGTGGTTACTCACTCTCACCACTGTGCCAACGTTATGGACTTGACCATTAATGGAGATCTCGAAAACAAATGGCAGCACCAGGCACAAATTATCTACCTTTTAGTTTTCAACTTTTACTTGAAAATGTTCTTTTTATAATAGTTTTTAAACTAATGTAAAATTTGACCTGAAGCAGGAATTTGACTTTTGCAAACTTTATATCCCCCACACACTTTGAAAGACCAGTTCATAAGAATAGTGTTTGTTGTTGTTGTTAGTTGTGGCCAGAAGACAGAAGGACTTCCAGCCAAACACACCTTCACTGGCAGACCTTCCCTGGAGATGGTCATGTTTTTAGGGATCCTGCAGGTTATTTCATTGTCCAGGACTTTAGCATCACAGTCGACTCCGGCTACTGTCATGACGATGGTCATACAGGAGCTCACCAGGTTTAGCTTCTGGTGCTGTGGACAGAGATGTTATATCAACATAAGGTCATTTGCTTTATTATAGTGAAAGTCCACATAACAAGGTCTGCTTGGTTATTTCACGTAAACAAACCAATAAAAGAGCAGCTGTCTTTTATTAAGGCCCATAAAGATAATTCTAAAAATGGTTTAATTCACAGTATTAATCCTTATTATTGTTTTGATGAGATAGTTACCATGTGTTATTCTCGTTTGGCAACATTTTTACATACATTTTCTAGTCACAATACTATATATATTTTTCATTTTTGATATTTTATGTAATACAGGAATATTTTTTAAAAATTGTATCAAACTTTTTATCTTAAAAATAATTTGCATGGAGGTGTTTTTTAATGGCTTCTATAGCTGAAACAACAGGCTACGAGACTTAAAAAAATCTATAGCTACAGTTAGGCAAAAATGGACTACAACTGGACTTTGGCCGAGATTTCAGACATATTCATTATGTGTTGTGTACAGTGTGTGGCAGTCTTACATGTAGTGAGACTTCATCGAAGCCTGGGTACAGATTCAACACATGGCCCTCTGTTTCAAACGGGATGGGTTTGCCATAGGGATGATAGGAGAACTCTTTGTTCCACAAACCCACTGCTCCGTCCATGTCAAAAGACAACTGTCCCTCCTCCGTCTCATCCCTGGGGAACACGGGTGTGATACACTCCATCCTTGTTGGTAAGGACTTTCCTATGCAGTCCTGAACAAAAAATAAATAAACAAAGAACATAATTATAAGCACCATAAAAAGTTTGATTATCTTTAAAATATTTCCCATGTGGTTCTAAAGAGCTTTAAAAAGTTCTTATTATTGCAATAGATTTCTGACAATTCAGACAAATATTTAGGTAGGTCTATATCATACTCTGGTCACAGGTTTCAGGTGACTTTCATTGGGTCTAAAGCGGATAACGGTGCGATACACAGAGTCCAGGTTCTCTCCTTCAATGACGATCCTCGAGCCTCTGCATAGACATAGTGAACATGGTGAATACATGTCATGGTGATTATCAGAGATGTGGTGAAGGTGTAAGAGGAGCTCTCTGTGACGTACCGGTCAAAGCTGCAGTCGGGCAGCACAGCTGTGACCTTTGGCTTCTCTTTGTAGTAAAACACCTTGGTTGTGAGGACAGGAGACTTGTCGATGAAAACACTTAGTGGGACGTCTCTCACCTCTGATATGGGCTCAGACAGACAGATGATGGAGGATACGTTGCCTTTTGGCTTTGTCACTCTGCGTAAGAACAGAAACAAAAACTGGACTCTTCATCCTTAGAAGAGTTTAGTATTGTGATGTAAAAACACACTATTGTTGTCATTCTGATTTTTGCGAGTGGTTAAAGCTATTTTGGTTAATGATTGTAGACAACTGTGTACAACTGGGTTGTTTTTATTGGACACTTGATCCTAAATAGATTTGATTAAAAAAAAATTCCAGACCTTTTTATTGGACAGGGCACCTCATTCAGAGTGACTCTCCTAGTTTTTCCAGCATCCAGATGAGGTCCAGTCACTGTGATCAGTGTGCCTCCAACACGAGGTCCATAGTTGGGCTGGATTTCTGTGATGTTTGGAATCTGAAGCAACAACATTTAAACTGTTCTTGTTATTATGGATGGACATTTTCTGAAAGTTGTATTGCACAGGAGTAAGACTAAAACCAACATTACCACAAATGTGAAACCTGTCATTTCTGCTTTCCCATCAATGTAGTAGCGTCTGTCAACTTTTTCCTCACTGACTTCCACAGTGACGTTGACTGGTGTTGACAGCTCTGTGGACCCAGAGCGGATCTTGCACACAAGGCTGGACAGAAAAAGTAAAACAACTGAAATATGTATGATGGTAAACTTTAAACGATTTCTTTGGTTGTGTCATTCTACTCCACTGTGACTGAAGCTGCCACTGAGAAAGGTAGTAAAAACAACTTTGTAGTACTAGCCGTTTGTATTACTCATCATCTATGTTGCCATACTGTATATCCTTAAGTATCATCATGCAGTATGTTTATAGATGATGTTTAAAAGATGAAAGTAGGAAGTACAGTAAATAGGACCTACTACTCTGTTGAAGGTTTTCTATTCTTTAATGCATAATACTAAATCTCTTTTGAATAAAAGTTGATACATCTACAAATAACTAATAAAGTATAGGTTGGTAAATTAAAGTTTTAAAAAATATATTAAGATAAGATAAATTTGTATACGATTTTTTATAACAGTTATTAATTCAAATGTATTCTATTGTGCCCCAAAATAATCTTATATCCAGAAGGTTCCAACTCTGGACAGATTTGGATACAAACAATAACATTTGTTTTATGTTAACAGTACAAAGGAAAGCAACATGGAATCTTTCAAACTTCCGTAGTGTGTATAAACCACTTGAATCCACACACCAGTTACTTACTGTGTGCTGTTGCTTTTAACTGGCTGGACGATGCAGGCAGTTTGGCCCAGTCGCACCTGATGTGTTCTAGAGGTGATGGCAGGTCTTAAAGGTGACTGGAACTCCCATCCACACAATGTTAGCTCAGTCTGGCCATCAGGTGGAGCAGTGCGTGGAAAAAACTTCAGTAAAAAAAAAGAATAGAATTTAAATCCCAAAATAAATAAAGCACTAGGTTAAAGTTTATGACAGTTTCCTGTAAAATAGAAATCATTTCATAAATACAACTCTGGGCTAAAACCCACAAAGATAATCCCTAGAAATTACACTTAACTAATGTTATCGTAACTCAACTTACCGGGAACCTGGTACCAACTAACAACCCACTACTCTACATCCACTTTATAATTGCTCTCACTTTCTTCTTTTTAAATCCATTTCCTCCGTCTTTGTTTTTCTCTCCCCTTCATTTCCGTCGTGTTCTATCACCTGCTCTGAACAATCATGTGAAAGAGATTGATACAACATAACCTCTACTGTGTGTCATGGACCAAATCTCACCCCAGCTATTCCAGGTGGACAGGACTCATTTCCCCAGTGACTATGACACTCGCTCTCCCAGGAGCAGATGCCAGAGCACCAGCCGCAGCCCATAAACTTGGGGGCAGTTAGACACATGGCACAGGTCAGGAAGTGGAGGCAACCTGGCCCTCGCTGTGGCACTTGGATCATCTGATAGAGAAAAGAAAAATGCTCCTATATCTAGAGGCTATTGTGATTATCAGACACAGTAGATGAAACAACATCCATCTTTCTGCTCTTCCTCTCTGAGCATGTTGTTGTTATAATAGTAATAATAACAGTATTACCAGATAAATTTCACAATTTCTGAGGAAATCGCAGTATGTACGCATTTTATCTTTGTGGAATCTTGTTTGTTTCTGACTGTACCTTATCTCCAACCACAAAGAGAAGATACTCTGATGAGTAAATGGCAGCGATGGGTGACACTCTCTTGTTCTCCTCCAAAGAATAATTGGCAAAAATAATAGGACTGGATCTTGTCAGTACAAGCTGCTGACACACAGAGCAGATCAAGATCAGAGGTCTGTACCAGTGTATGGTTCATTATGAACATTGAGTAAAGAACAGGTGGACCTGCAGCAGGCGTCCATTGGAAGTGCCGATATGGGCAACGGTCTTGTTCTCGATGGTTGTCACCAGCAGAGAGGTTAGCAAGACGTCTGTCATCTGTCTGTTGAAGAGGTCCACTCTGTAGTAAGGCTTGGACACCATTGTGGGCTGGTCTCTGCAGGTGGCATTGTTCTCCATGCTCTTTGAAGAAGACAGTGGAGCAGCAGAGGAACACAGAAAAACTATTATTTCGATTTGATTCACTACAAACCCCATTTATTTCATAATAGTGAAACATTCCCAAATAGGTACATCCCTAATGTCAGGACTTTGATTATAGTTGTCTTTTTATTAGTTGACATTTGTAAGCTTGATGTAATCCTTTGATACAATGATGGTGAGGTCCACATCCTCCTAAAAAAGCTGAAACCTCAACATGTAAGATTTAAATTATTCATAGTCCAATGGAGTTGAGTGCGGGCCTGCTAAACATTTTTCTTGCTGTGGTCCACTGTTTTAGAGGTTAGAGTTCTTCAAAAGCTGTGTGTGTTTGTCTGTTTGACAATGAATGTCTGGAAGTTCAGAACCTGTTTCTTCCCTTGATATTTATCAACATGGTCTTTCTACTAACACCTTTCCCATAGAGCTAATTAAATCTTTAACTTAAAATATAAAATATATAATATAAATATAACTTTAATTATTATTAACAATTAAAGTTATATCTATCTATCTACCTACTTCCAGCAGCTCATTTTGGTGTCTCGTTAATCCTCAAACACAGGATGTTAGTTCCACGTGTAGGAAAACAAGAAAGCAGGGTGTGTTTTATTGAGGATGTGATATGAGCTGAAATGGTCACCAGAGTAACCGTGAGTCTGGATCACACCGACACTGAGCTACAATAATGGGCTCATTTATAATTCAACAGGCTGTGATAGAAAATCACCAGCGGTTGAACTACCACATGGGAACTGACACCAAGACAGACAGGCTGCTATAAGGACCATAGGAATTTTTTTCTTCTTCTCATTTTTAACTGATAAACTCGGAGTTTCCAAGGTTTTCGCTAAGTTGTTGTTTTTGGCTGGGGGTTTGTGAGTTGTCCAACATATCCTGATATGTAACAACATATCAGTATCTTAAAACAACAGTGCTGCCAACAATATCATCTCTGTCTCATTGACATCTGACTTTTAAAGACTGTGTCAGATTTTTGAGTAAAAAAACTACTGGTAAAACTACTATATATTTTTTTTTTCAAATTTAAAGTATTTTCACTCTTAGTACAATCTGATTTTGGAGTAGTTTTAATTAGCTATAAGCAGATTGTTCTCAGCAAGTCTGCAAATTAAGTGCCTGCAGTAATTAGCCTGCTGGATCACAATACGTGTATTTAATGGGGTATGCGGTCAGATCTAGGCTTGACTCAGGGAGGACGTCCCTGGCTTCCATAGTCCTGTGAGCTGTTCACCTTAAACAACAGGCAGCACATATTCACAGTGAGCAACTCATGTAAGATCTTAAAAAGAAATTATATAGACGCTAGAGTGGAATTGGATTAATTACCTTTTTTAAGGAGAAGTAGCACTGTGTACCAGCCATAGAAACAAATAAGAGATGAAACAATATAAATAAGCATCTGTAGATATATCTGCAAATACTTATAGCCCCCACTCCGAATGCTAATGTTACAGGAAGGTGCAAATTGCACATAGGTAAATGAACATATGTATCAGTTATACTGCTTTTGTATGATTTTACCTTTTCCCTGTTTCTATTACGCAGTGTTATTATTTATTGCTTCTGTAGTCTTTTTGCATATTTAATCGAACTCAATGTGACATATCGTGCCACGATAGATGAGATAAAATTTAAAACCACTGTCAAAATCAGAAAGTTTGTAATTAGATTTTTGCGTTGAGTCTTTTTTGATCCCTTCAGTCCAATGACCAGTAGTGTGTCGACAGACTCACCTCATGAGGACAGCTTTCACAGGGCTGGAAATGGCAGAGTCCTCTGGAGAGCTGCTCTGGTCCCGACTCACAGCAGTCGTCCACCCCGTCAGCGATTGCTTTGTTAACGTTGTCCATTGGGAATGCACACAGAGCCGAGTCATGCTCTGTGACCCCACTGTCATCAGTAACTGCAAAAACCCCGTACAGGATGTCGTCCTCCTCTTCTGCACCTAACTCCTCCGCTAATTCCCTGCCTGCCTTCCCAAAATGAGCAGCCTGGACCACATTGTAGACAACATCCTTATAGGGTTCACTGGCCACATTTCTTCTTCTGCGTTTGGGCTCGAACCGGCATTCCAGGATTACCTCACGGTACCGCTTCATCTCCCATTCATTCCGTGGGAGACGACCAAGACGAGTTTGAAATGGAGATGAGTCCTGATCAGGGCTCTCTCTTTGGACAGAGACAAAGTAGACAAACTCCTGAGTGAAGAAGCTGTAGACATACTCAATGTGATATGTCCTTCTAAGTGCAGGTTGGACGGTGAGACCACGTACGTCACTGTAGAACCCGTCTTCAGTGGCCAGTGGTCGGCGAACCGACAGTGACTTCCTGCCGTATCGCTGGGCCACACTGTCATTGACAGTGGTGGCTACAAAAAAGTAGACAGTTTGACCTTCTTCAACCATGGTGACTTTGGTTCCAAGTGGACTGGCTACACAGTCCGGACAATAGGCAGCAGAGTTGGAATCCTTTCTGAACAAACACTTGGAGTGAGAAGGCGGCTCTCTGTTTGGGTTCAGCTGGTGGAAATAGCAAACACCGTACTGAGAACTTCCACATGAATATAAATACATAAAAAGTGTGTCCAATACAAGTATCTGATTATTGGTGTCCTCTGGAAAGTTAGGGTCCTTGTCAATGTCACATAAATGACATATCTGGCACTCTGGAGTCCCCACTGGCCCAGTGCGGAGCTCCCACACCTTCTCCAAGCTCCTATTCACAGCTTCAATCACATTTTTGGAGGCCACATATACCTCCTGGTAGAGGGAGTTGTTCACAATGTTCTGGATGGGACCCCGGGCCTGGAAGAAGGGCATGGTGTAGACCACAGAGTAGTTGACTGGACTTGGTGCTAATGGAGGGCAGTGAGACATTGTAATGGTCAGCAGAGTCTGGAGCCAGACGCATGCCCCCGACAGCCTGGTCCAGAAGAGCATCTCCACTCTGAGTGGACGTAGAGTAACAGCACAGGCAATGTCAGTTTATCCCTGGGTGAGTTGATAGAACCACAGCATCTTTGTGCCAGAGATGCCTGGAAGGAGATAAATGTGAGACTGAAGTCACCATGATTATCTCTAACATAGGAATGACTGAGCAGCTGAGCAAGGCAGCAAAAAGATAAAGAGAGATTTAAAATAAATACTGTACCTGGGAAAACCCAATAGAACACCTGTGTAACTATTACCCTATTTACAGGACCTTAAAGGTAATTTACCTCTGTTTTTTTTTTCTTTTTTATTAGTACTTTAGGGTTAACTGCAATAAAACTTAGCTACGTTCTACTAACAATAATAAAAAAAAAAACCAATAAAACTTAGCTACGTTCCACTAACAATAAAAAAAAAACCCCAAAAAAACAGAGAGGATAGTACCTGACATGGCTTGGATACAAGGTTAAAAAATCATTAATTATGTACAAAAAATATTATTCTTTTTAAATAATTTATTTACATTTGTATGAAATGAATCGTATCCTCTTTGGTCCACCCTCACTGTACACATGTACAGGAGGTTGTAAAAATAAAAGCTTTCTCATCACAAACTATCAGAGGAAGTGTTTGCTTAATCAAGGGTACAGAGAGTAAAGAAAACATGTTTTTACTGGAACTTCCTCTATAGGTCATATATATCTTTGGGCTGTGTTTGTTCTGATTTATCAGTCATTTCATCTTCTTCCCGGCTCATATTCTCAGTCATGTTCATGTCTGCGTCACGCGTAACAAAAACAGATAGTTTGCCTCTAATGCAGGATGATATGAAGAGCAGTGCTTTTTTCCCTGAAGTCTATCCCGAGCAACAAAATAGAACCCTGTGTGAAACTGAGCTACGTCTCCTTCCAGAACAGACGATGCTTTGGTAGATGATTAACTCTACAAATCACAGTAAAGCTGGATTCAAGAACCCAGTGGCCTCTCTACTTTACATTCCTGTCACAACCACTACGTGCTGTTCAGAGGGAAAGACATGCACGGACTGATGGCTGCAACACGTCATGGGCCTTTTTAAGTCCAATGAGAAGAAAAAGTGCTCATCAATTCGTGCTGCAGAATTTTATCCACACCTTATTTCTAATACAAACATAGCAAAAGCGTATTAGTCCTTGAAGAGAATAGCTTTTTAAAACACAGCTATGGAGTCTGTACCTAAACCTTTAGAGTCTAGTGTGTGAGGTGAGGTGCTGGCATCAATAATTCATAGAAGTGTTACTTTTTAACATTTGCAGATCTGTGCGTTACCGGGGTTAGGGTTCCAGGACATGGGGACACATAGTAATGGTACTGTTTGACTTTGTCCAATTTTAAAGTTTAAAAAAAAAACAAAACACTGACTCTGCATTGACTTTGCTATTTTAAAGCTGGTTAGGCAATGCTTAGGCAACAGTTTGTCTGTTTTTTTCTGTGTCATTTTTAATTATTTTCTTTTTATATTTTCAACTTAGGGTAATTGTGAGATGTTATAAATATTGTTTGTTGTAATATGAAATAATAATATATAATAATAATTCACCTTCTCCATCTAATCTGTTCTAGTGGTGACCACCCAGGAATTCACCCAGTGATGTTGTTGTCTAGGAAGACTTTCAATGTACCTTTGGAAATTTACGTAGGATAATAGGATAATACCGTATTTTTTGGCCTATATTTTATTGTTTATCCACTAGTCTAAAAAGCTTTTTTTCCACATTTTAGGAACTTTTATCTTTTGTTATGTTATTATTTTTGTTATGGTATAATATATTCCAGAAAGCGTTATTGTGTTCCAGTTATTTTGGTTTAGTTACTTTTTTTGCCTACAATGCTCTCTTTTTGTTTCGGATTATTTTGAAGTGTCTTGTTGCTCCCCTTAGCTATTTAGTTATTGTCTGTCATATTTATTAATTCCCTGACTGATACCAATCGATTGATCATTTTGAGCTATTTCTTAACTAACTCTTAAGCTATTAAAACATATATTTTCCAGTATTAGTATTACTATTATTATATTTTGTAGTCGACATTTAGCTTCAAAAGTTATTTCAGCGAATTTTAAACAGTTTCCTGTACACACTGGAACAACATAAAATAAAATATTCCAAACTAATAATAAAAGTAATCCACAATATATGTTGAAAAGACAGAAGAAGCTATGGTACAGTCAAAATATTAAAACAGACAAATAAGTTACTGACACAAAAATAATCTAATTTATGGTTTGAAATAAACAAAAAGAAATATAATCAATGAAAATATAAATAAACAAAATAATAAACAACTTGTTTAAAGGTTTTACCAAACCAAGTGCCACGGGTAGACTGCAGGCCACAGTTTGGGCATGCGTCAAAGAGTAGGCCTCCAATATACCCACATACTTGCTAACACACGTGAAGTAGTATAAGACGACTCACTGTTATTTATTGGCATATGCATTGGTATTCAGGGAGATGCAAGCTTGAGCCCAAACAGTCAATACTGAAAACATATTATACACCAGGGATATGTGTATTGATTAAACAGTGGGCAACGGAAACCAACAGGAACACAATGGAAAAGTGTGGACAGTAACCACGGCTATAGCTTTGAAACCTTCATTGTAACATGAGACATATTCAAAATATGACAAAAAAGAGAAATATTATGAAAGACATGGTTGGTGTAGCAGTAGAGGATTAAATTTGGCAGCAGACGGTCTGCTGTGGTGACTCATGAATGGAACAGCCAAACGGATGGGAAGAGAATGTAGAAGACAAGGATTTATGCCTGTTTGACATAGGCATATATATATAATAAACCATTAACTGCAGGTTAAATCAGAAAAAAAAATTACCAAATAATCTAGCAAACCCTAACAGATTTAGGGGAATATGAGACAGAATATAACATAGCTTACAATTGACTGACCATAAGGCTAATTTGTTATCAAATGGTACAGTAAGTCAGTCAACAAATAGATTTAGTTTTAGCCAAAACAAGCAAATGAAAATCAACGGTGGAAATTTTGCTTAGAAAATGACCAACTAGTTATGTAAGCTATTGTAAAAAATAACAAAATAACCTAAACAATACCTTTCAAAATGGCTTACATTTTAGTTAAAGTTAACTTGATAGACATAACAAAAGATAATTTAGCCTTTTTCAATTTTTGTTTTTTAATGTTATTAGAAATTAGGGGTTTTAAATGGAATTGCTAAAACTATTTATTTTATCTTAACTTGTAAATATTTTTGACTAACATCTTTTTTTGCCGCTTTCAGTCTAATGTCCACTATATTTGGTCCAAATTCCGAATACATTTTAAATTTGAATACTTGAATATTTGAGTAATTTATTTTTGATATTAACAAAGTGAAACAGTAAATATAACCTACCTTCACATCGTCATACGTCCATTAAACACCTGACAGCGATTTTAATGTTATTATCTCTCCGTGTGTTTCTGTTTGTGTTTGTTACCTGTGCAGCCGACAGACACTCGGTTAACAGAAGTGTGTATCCTCACAGGGTCGACACCGCTACGCAAATTAAACGGATCCTGAGTTCATTTCAGCCTCCATCAACACGCTCACTGGGAGATATCGGCTCTCGGACCCGTGAGTGACAGCGCTGCTCCACAGCTCGCTGCCTTCACCTGACCCTGCCCCTCCTCGTCCTCAGCCGTTGCTCCTCCTCAGTTCTACGACTGCTTTTTCAACCAAAGGTACACATACGTCTGTTGTTTTAAATAACCAAAATCAAATTGTTTAAAAATAACGAATAAATTAACAACTGCGCATTGGCAAAAATATCAAAAATAATTTTACAACGGTTATAAAAACCCTTCAATTTCGGGTGAAGGCTAATGTCAAAACGTTAGCAACTGTTATACAGCTTAGTAAACAAAAAGCAATATTTTTTAAAAAAGATGTCCAACAAAATGTATGATGCAAATTTAATACGTGTTGCCAAAGTCTAAGAGAAACTTTATTTAGAAGTTGTTGAAAGGAAATATATTAACATTCATATTATCTCAGAAGCAGGTAAAAAAACCTTTTCTTATTGCTTAGTTGTTACAGCCTGCAGGTAAACAACAGTACTACATTATTCAGCTTTAGTTAAGTGGTTTTAGACTACTTTTCTGAAAACAACTCTTTTAAAGGAAAACAGAATAAAGGGCCTGTAAGAATGAAACCATATAAAGACAATAATAATCCCCAGTCTATTTAATCAAACAAATAACATTTGTTGTGTTTAATGTTCTTGACAAAGATGAATATGTTTATTGTATGATGTTTTTAAAGGCATTCAGGCACAACTGTTGCAGCAGCAGTGAACTTCCAAGATTCCTGCAGTGCTATAGTTAGGACTTAATTCAGAGAAAAAGTTTTGACTATAGAAACAAGTAAAAATTAAGATTTAGGCTTGAAATATAGTTCACTGGAAAATAAGACAATTGTTGTTTGACTGTTAATAAGTATGGAGAGAAAACTGTCAATAACAAATTTAAAAAATCATTTTTTAAGTACTTCTAAACTCCAAAATATGCCCTTAGTTGAATGGTGCTGCTCACTGACATTTAATGCCACATACTGCTCACTTACTTCAACAAACTATTTCAGCAGAAGCTTGTATGTTGTTTTGCTGTTGGTCTTACTAGTTATATACATTTTCACAAAAACTCAACTCTGGACATCTTGAAGGTCTCGCTATTTGTTTCTTTTTAATTAGTCATAAATGATGCATTGGAATGTACTTGTTTGGTAGTTGGCCCAAGTCCCATGAAACAAATCCAGTAATGTTTTTTTTTTTTTTTTTTGTAGGTCAATATGGAAAGACCATGGATTGTACAGGACACTGTACAGTTGTATGGGACAGATATGACAAAATTTCAGGACTCCCTGCTAACTTTAGAGGTAAATCAAATGTAGCATTTTATCTGCCCCTTGATGTCTGAAGTTCTGTTCATAGTGGAAGAATTGTGCTGCTTGCCATGTGTGACTGCATAAGCTGCAAATGTGAAACATCTCTTTTTGCATTTGGCAAGAAAGCCTTACAATCATCCTAGTCCCCCTGGATTGGCAAAAATAAAACATATTTGAACTGTAGCACATCTTGGGATGAAACGTTCTACAATGTGCTCATGACTGATATTGACACAAAAGTTCTGTTTTAGGGAGACATATGACACCACAAATTTACATATTTTAAGCATCTGAAAATTGGCAAGTGAAAATGAGCTGATCATCTTATTTAACAGAGTGAGAGCCCTTCTTCTTAAAACATGGAGAAATAATCACCAAAACATGACATGAGAAAACAAATTACAGGTTAAAATATCTTCTGAGTGCTTCTGGCATTTAGAAAGTGCATAGTGTTAAAGGAAGAATAGACAAAGGAATACCTTGTTGTCACTGCTCAGGAACAAGGGTATTAAAATGTACAGAGACTTTGCAGGTTCGTACAGTAATTGTCATCATGTGAAAAAAAAAACAGTAATGTTTGAGACTTATGTTCTATTAAATCATAATAATGATCATGGCACAACTTCCAGTTTTTGTTAAAAATACACTCCATTCTGATCATTGTTTTAGCTTGTTGAGTTAAGATTAATACCAACTAGTATAACTAGTTAGTGGATGGCAGCAGATCAGTACGTGAGAGGATTCAGGATGAAGAGTCGATCCTCTTCCTTCCTGATCCACTTCAGTAGTTTGATGACAGCAGAGTCAGCCAGTGCCTTGGTCCCCAGAGGACTGAAGCAGAGGTAAAGCTCAAAGCCACTTGTCACCTGCAATGAATAAGAAAGAAGTGCGATCTGAATGACCAGTTTTGGACCTGGTCCATCAGGACCAGCCTTAGGTATACATTTAGAAAATTGTAGGAAAATTTAAATTTGGTGAGTTGGTGATTTGTAAGTCAAAACAAAGTTTACCTGTGCTAGCAAATTCTCAGTTTCACCACAGCGGTAGAAGGAACGAAGTGGCCTGGATGGATGGTGCAGAAAGCTGTGAAGGTCCTGGTACAAACCCATCAGTCTTTCCTGTTCTTGGTCAGACTGGTACACCTCAGGAAACTGAGGACTAAAGGGTGGGGGAGTGGGGGGAGGTAACATGGTTAAACGGCATCAGAGTATTACAAAATAATTACACTTAAACAGAAGAGACTGAAAATTTAAAATGTGTTATAGTTCTGTTTAAAGATGCACACCTGGTGTAGAGACCTGAGCTCTTTGATTTGTACAGGAAGTGCCGTAGCTCAGGGATGCCAACCTGTACCACAGAGTAACTGGGACATTGTAGCGCCTCCTTCATGGTCTGATAGGCACTGCGCTTACTCAGTCTCTCCAGAATCCGCTGCTTGCAGTCAGACATGTTAAAAAAGTCCTCTCTGTCTGTTGAGATGAGGATGAGGCAGAGCTCGGAGGTTGGCTCCAGGTATGAAATGTGAGCATGGAAAAATCCTGCAGTGTTAAACTTTGGCAGGCAGATTGGCGTCCATCCTTCACCCTCTCGGAAGGATGAGGAGGAGCCAACGAGGTTAAAAACAAGGTGCAAGTCTATGTGGTGCAAAAACTGATCCTTTTTTCTCACCAGGGTAACCAGACGATCACCTGCCAAAAGGATAGAGAACACCAAGTTTTTTGATTTGGCAGCCTGCAGGCTGGAAGACACCACGTCTCTGGCTGAGCTGGGCAGAGGCAGACATGTGACGGCGCTGAGCAACAATCCAGGGTCTCGGTCCAGTCGGTGCAGCAGGTTGTCGGTAAGATACTCTGAGCCAGCAAGTAGGCGCCGTAGGTCGTAGTTCTGCTTGTGCTGGAAGATGTGGTTGAGCTGAGTGAGTGTGAGAAGGCTGACGATCTGGTAATAGATGTACTGGAGCTCACGCAGCAGCTCTTTATCGGACTGCCAAGTTCGAGACACGCCCACCAGGACAAGAGGACTCCGGGTCAGGAAAACCACTTTGCAACCATCTGGTACAAAAGATTTAGTTAAAAATAAAAATAATATATTTAATTTATCAGATCCAAAGCAATACTGTACATGAGCCGCATGCACCTCAGTGTCCCCCACACACCACTCCCCAGGCGCTTAAGCTGCCCTCGTGCTCACTTTGGTGATGGGTTAAAAGCTGAGGTCACATTTTGTTGTGTGTGCTGTGGTGTGCTGTCACAGTGACAAATAATGATTCACTTAATTTCACACCTATTTCTCCTGATGAATCTAATATCCCATAATGCCTTAGGAGAAACCTTTATTACGTCACAGAAAAAATATTGATATATATTAAGTATTGCCATTCAGCTAAAAATATCGAGATATGACTATTATATATATTATATCCATATCACCCAGCCCTAATTAGAAGTTAAACATTTATTGTTTTTCCAACCTGCATGAATAGAGCGAATGATGTTCTTCTTAGCTTCTACAAACGATACCAGGGCCATCATCACCCCCATGGTGCTGGACAGGGCCTCCTCCGTGCCGTAGCGAGTGTAGATGGGCTTTCCAGCCTCACTCAGCACAAACACATGCTTTTTGTGACTTCTCCAAGCCTCACTGGACACATCCTCTTCCCTGGACCTGCTCTCCAATGACATGTTGTTGCACTGCTCTTCTATGGCCTCCTCCTCCACCAGCTCATCAAGCTTTCCTTCACATTCTTCCTCTGAATTCTTGCTTTCAGTTTTATCTTCAGCATCAGCAGTTAGATCCTCAAATGACTGAGAATGGACGAACATGGCACTCTGCTGACCGGCACCTGCATCAAGGTTGGAACAAAAACAAGCTTATATGAAGGCTGTCAATTTGGTTAAAGTATCACAGGAAGACCAATAGGCTAGTTTGAACCACTCAAGTCAAATGAATCAAGCTATTTCTTAAAGAAAGAAATTTAGATCTCTTTTTGTTGTATTTTAAAAGTTCAAGAGTTCAAAGTTACATGTTTTATGGACATTAAAATCCTTGGTTACACTCAATCATAACATTCTTAGGACAGAGCAGGGATTAGTTCCAGACTAGGAAAAATGACATGGAAGTTAAAAACCTATCATTTGTCATTTAGTGAAAACAAATAACCCTCAACACAAAGTCATGCTCAGCTCTTCCAAAAGGGCCTATCAACATTTCTAGGTCACACATTGATTTTTAGAGACACAAAAGCAAGTCGGTGAGGTTTTTATGTCAAGATGCTGCCTAGCAACAACAGTTCACCGGTATGTAGTTCCCACGAGGAAAGTCACTGAAATTGATCACATGAAGTGGGCATGCTCAAACACCTTGCACCAATAAGAAGACATTTGGTAATCAATATAATTGGAGGGACATTGATGAGACAAAAGGTCTTTTGCTCTGATATACAGTAGAAATGGTTAATTCATGCAGAAATTGCAAATGTTTGGAGGTTCTATGTTAAAAGTGTAACCCATTTTAAATATTTTTGCACTATACAATTTGTTTAAAACCTCACACTTATGTGAAACCATCCTTACATTTCTAAAAGGATGGCAGGATTTAGCACTTTCACACAGTATGTGATAGGATGAAGTTTCTTTATTTTGTTCTTTTAGTGTACAGGAAATGCTTTTGTTTTACAATCATCTTAAGTGTATTATCTTAAATAAAGGTAGAAATGGAAAAATAAGCTTATTTTCAGATGTTGCAGTGTGGTCTCACCAGGTTCAGTTCCTTCCACCAGACCTGGAGTTGGACTGTCTGCCCTTTCAGATCGAAGGTGATCCAGAGGAGCCAGAGAGCCATTCTCCCAGGTCGCAGTCGCCCTTTGTGCTCCTACACTCTCCATGGCTACTAGTGATGACTGGGACATACACCTGAGATGATAAAGGGTGAGAGCTTTATGGACACATTTAACAGCATCATTTTTTTTACCAATTCAATTGAAATACAAAGTTAATACAAAGGTTAAACTTTTAAGAAGGTCTTTGCATTAACAACTTTGTTGTTGTAGTTCTTGCCAAATACACACACTGACTTAAATCTAGGCTATTATATAGTTATTATATTTTTTATATTTGAAGAAAAAAGTTTTTTTCATGAGTATTTCTTTGGCTAATTTTGCTTTAGTCATTTTTGGCTATTGGCTATTTTTTGTCACTGGCTTTTTTCATATCTATGTTCATTTTCTTTCCTTTTAGCTACTTTTGCAAATACTCTTGGCAATTATTTTATTATTTCGAGACTTAGGAATTTTTCCAAAATCTATTTACTATTTGCTAGATGTCATTTGTGGAACATTTCATGTCAAATTAATTTTTGAAGCTCCCTTTGAAACTGTTCATCGTTAAGGTATATGATATTCTTCGCATTATCTCGAACAACCTTTGTAATGTATTTACTATTTAATAACTAGTATATCTAGTACTTTGATTCACCTTGCACTGTCGTCGACAACTATACCCTGGAACTATGTTAACAGTAGTTACAGAAGTTGCAGTTGGACTTGTTTGATACTGCGTTCCTTTCAGCTTATTTCATTTTACTTATCAACTTACACCTCTTTTGATCGTATAAAATTTAACGAGACGCTTGTAAAATGAACATGCATTTCGTTTCGAATATTTCCTCCGTGTTAAATTAGAGCTCAGGCTGACTTCTGACTATGGTCTGGCACACAAGCGTAAATAATAAACCGGTAAATCAAGCTGTTACGAGGTACAAAGAACCAGAATTACATATAATGTGTATTTCGCTAACGAACGACTGTATTTTAGCAGAATGTGTTTTAACACTGTTCCAAACAGTTCTTACATTTCCAAGTAAGTGTCCTACCTTTCATTTCCGGCTTTATCTTACTCCAAAACTCTGCCACAGCAGCTAGTTTTACCAGCTAATCAGCGAAATGTGGCATGTTCAGGTTACTTTTACTTCTCTGTATTCAAACCAATCGGCTACGGAAATGGTAATTATGGGAAATGAAGTTCAAAAGCTTCAACTCATCCTTCTTCTTTGCCCTCTGCTTTGTTGTCGCTTTGTTTTACCGCCATCGTTTGGCGCGGAGTGTAATTTCATATTTGGCCGTGTTTCTTAATTACCAGGTAAAATGGTAAACAGTATTTAGTAAATAATAATAATCATTGAGTGGCACCCAACAAGAGGCAGTTTTGCAGCACGGGAACTGGTAACACTGCTCAGAGAAGTATTGCAAGAACCTGATTTGTCCCTATCTATAGTTTACATTAATAATTTTTGTGTAGACTGTATCAGAATATACGTGTAACCAAGGTGTAACTGTATGGAGTTGACACATGATTAGGTCGAATGAACCCTGTATATTGACCATTGGAATTATTGACACCATTTGCCACGAATTAAGGAGTAAAATTCTTTTTAAAAAGTGTCTCAAATGTGCAGTTGAAAACACAGTCACTAGAGGGCCCCCTCTTAAAATGGTCACAGTTACTGCAGGTTTTCATGAATGGGCAGGGATGGATAAAAATCAATTATTCATCGATGTATTGACTTTTGTTGTTTTTCTTTGCGATTTGAGTGATTGATGTGACCCTGGTTTGTCGGGTCACAGGCTAAATTCTTGATCAGGACAAAATCCTGCCACTGCACTGCAGCTGAGAAACCGCCCTGTACTCAGATGGCTTCTTTATTAATAGAATTAACCACTCTTCAATCACCTCCTGTCTGTCGACGTGCGTTTGGGTAAAGGTATCTTCAAGGCATATTAGTAATTTAAATTGAATTCTATGTCAGCCATTGTGATTCTCTATGTCACTCACACTACCACCCCGCTAAATTGCGGGGTGGTCAATTTTAATAAAATTGACTAGCTACAAAAATGTGTATAAAAAATTGGATTTGAGAAGAGTTTCAAATCAATAGTTTGGATTAAGGTGAACATCGTGAGAAATATTAATAAAACTGGAATATCTGTGAATTGTCCATCTGTGACACCTGTTATTGCGCAGCTCAATCTTCTGCTCTCCTACATGACTAGTAATGAACCCAGGTTGGATAATCAGTGTTACATAAAAAAGTTCAATCTGTCAGAAAAGACAGAAATACATTTTTACTCTTTTTCTTGTCTTTTATGTTTCATGTCGGTAGGGACACAATGAACCCAACAAGAAGTCTCTTGAATTTTTACACATTTGGATTCTCTCTCCTTGAGGATTGATTACAGTGACCTTAGTTGGTTGAATCTTAACACCTTTATTTTTTATTAAACATTGCTGCTTCGTCCATGTAATGGATTTGAAGTTGGATTTTCCCCAAGCAGTTTTCAAAGTAATTTCACACTCTGTCCACGTCCAGTCCAGATCAATACACACACTGTGTTTTGGTTTGTAGCCATTTTAGTAATAGTTGGTGAAAGTCATAGGGATTTCTCTTTTAAAGTTACAAACAGTAAAACTATGAGGTGCAAACTGATCTGGGGGCAGCTCTTCCCATGATGCATCAACTGTAATCAATAACAAATCTAATCCAGATGCATTCTGTGGTGGAAATTGAGTTTTTGTTATCTGATATTCTCCACTGTCGTCTCATATTTGTAGGTCTATATATAGGTATGTATATATATGTGTGTCTATATATATATGTATATATATATATACATATATATATATACATATATATATAAATCACACCAGCCTGAGTCCCGATGCAACGTGTGAGATGGTGTGAAAAAACTTTGTTACACATTTTTAATTATTTTTCAATAATATTATAATGTTATGCATACATTATTGCCTCACTGTTTAAACTGTGTAGATGCTTTTAACAGAGAGTCAAACATTACGATCATAATTTCCT